GTTTAAAACTATTGATTCCCAAGAGATTTCAATTTCTTTCAATTTCAAGGCACGAAAGGTCAGTGAGTCAACTAGATAACTAAACATCCGCGATCGTTCCGATCTAACCATGGCTGATCATTCAAATCTATTGGTTAGGTCGTAAAATGGACCAAGAAGAAAACTGTACATAATCGCATTATCGATTCGTTAACGCATCATCTAACGGTGGTATCGAAGAGGTAGACGAGAACGAAGGAAGAAGAGTCGAAGCGAGCGTCCGTTCAAATTCACACAAGTCCGATAAAAACGTCCGATTGACGGTCTTATCCAACAACTTTGCTCCCGTACAAAAGCTCTACCTGTTATCTACGTAATTGTTTCTTCCCCCTACTCCCCCCCCCTCCCCTCCCCGCGGTATTTACGCATACGACAACATTTCTAATGATGGTCCATTTCATTCACAGCGTTCCAACAACTTCAATAGTCTCTGAGTTTTAACTACGATAATCGCCCGTCGCTTTATGCATCGAATATTTTCGTTAAAAGTCTTGGGAGGCACAACCGTACGGTCAATTATGACGAAACGAACGCTAAAAACAATTTACTTCGTTCGACTTCTTCTGTACACATGTTCTTTGAAACTTAAAGAGTAACCCTAAACATCCACCCCATCAATAAATAGGTAAATAACCTCTAATTAACGTTATAAGACCAGCAACATTTTTATTACTAACACCGGGTAACGTAGATTCGGCGTTGCAAGAACGAGACTTCGAAGGGCTCGTTTATGGCTCGTTTTTACAACGACGAAATTATTTCACAAGAATTCTGCAAGCTCGAAGAAGCAAGAATATTTCCAATCGTTTTTGTCTTTGGGAGATATGTTCGTCAAGTATATCTTTCGTCTTTTGTTTCCTTTCTTCTCAACATTGAACTCGGTTGTGCCGAACAAGATTACACATCAAATTTGCTCTCACGTGTGTGTAACTTATGGATACTTCATATTAAAAATATACATTAAAATGTACGTACAATGGTATCGTTAACGTACACCATTTAACAAGTTCCCTACCTTTAGAGGTATCGCTACGTATATTTTATTTTTATCTTGTGTCTTACAGTAAAATAGATCGGTAAGCAAATGTAATCCTTGCCTATTCGCTTCGTGAGACTGAGGGCCGGTGGATCGTGTCAACAAACTTCTCTCGATACGGTTTCACGTATCGCGTGCTTCACGACGATGTACAAATAAATACGCAACTGACGTCGAATTTCGGATATTGTGCAACATCGACTATGGAGACAATGAATGTTCACGTTGGGTCGTAAGCTTGAAGCTACTCTTTCTTACGCCAGCAGTTACAACGATCGAAGCTAACCGAGCAAAACGGGCCAATATTTTCTTATTTTTGCGAAAAATATAACGTTCCACTTGTGCAAGAAATCTTGCGTAGAACCCATCCGATTTCCGTAAAGTAATTAGGTGTTCGTTCGTAGTGGTCTCAAACTTACGACTGGCAGTGTGTTTGATGTATACTCGAGATTAATTGTGCCATAACGCTTCGAATACATTTTCATACCTCGAATCGAGTATCGAGTTTCTCTATTTCTATATATTCTATTTTCCGTTTTTTTTTGTGCAAACAGCCTGTCGTTATACAAAACGATGAAGCACGTAATAGTGATCCTGTAACTACGCCGAGAAAATGGTTGTACAATATTAGGTAATTAATAATGTAATTAAGAATAATTATATTATTCAACGATCCACCTGTCGCCGCTAAGAAGTATCTGGAACCGATGCAAAGTATCGCAGATTATCTTTAGAGAATTGAATTCAGCCATGTACACTTACGTTCAGAGAGGCATATATAATATGTATCGATACATATATTATATATCAGTTCAAATACAATAAAATTTTGTGTCAATAGGAAAATGTTTAATAACTAGTGGAGACATACACGTATGTATACATATACATGTGTGTGTGTATATATATATATACATATAGTGTTTTAATACATTAAATCTTACTTTTTTTCGTTATGAAAAATAACAATTTCTTTATACTTTTTTTTTTCTTCCTCTTTGATAAAAAAGTGTGTTGGCTAAGAGATTGCACTTTGTGATCATCTTAAAAATTTGTGATTAATTATTAGTGACTATACATTATATCTTATGTTTCGCACACCGATTGTTCGTACAGTCATCAGATACGTTCCTAATATACGTTAGTAAAGAACAAGTTAATATCGAAGATTATACGAGTCTTCTTTCTTTTGTTTAACGTACGTATATATATATATATATAATCTTCGGTTACAATATAATAAAGACTGACTTCCCAGGTTGTCGGTTCGTCGAGAGAACGCTGTAAAACAAAGTCTACGATTCCCCTAATGGTAATGTAGGTACGATAAACTTTATATCTCCCACCCCTCCCCGTTAATCCCATGTCTCGTGTTCCTGTTTCATACATTTCCCTTTCGACTATGCACCCCATTTTTGTTTCTTCTCTCTCTTACACGAATCTCATCGACGCGTCGTCTTGTGCGGACAACGTGGGCAAGTCACCCGAAAGGAGGGCCACAAATGGTGCCAGGCACTATTTATTCATATACCGTTTGTGTATTCCATTAATTACGTTAATTACAAGTAATGTACCAAATACGACTCTTGAGAGCAGCTCAGACCAGGACACATCCTGAGATTGAGTAAAGCATAGGCTGAGACCATTCCGAAGCAGTTTTAACCAGGAAGAAGACAACTCGGTATTTTACAATTGCAACCCTTGTCTCGCCAAAGTGTTCTACGGATTTCCGCTATGCGCTGTTAAGAGATCAAGTTGGGTTTTTCCTTTTTTCTTTTTTAATCGTTAATATAGATTCAAACGAATCGTTTAACCCCCGTGTCGCGTGAATTTTGTTTTGTCTATCCGAAACTTAAATCCAATTCTTGGTTGTTTGTATAACTCACGAATTAACACGTTCGAGTCGAACGATTAGGTGATCGAATCTGTAGAGTTAGAGGGTTAAGCGTCACATTTGTCCACCGTGATTGTTCAGAAGATACACACTCGCTAGAACGTGTTCTCGTTGTGCACGATTTTAGGCTTTAAGGGTTGCAAATCTCTTCTCTCGTGTTACGTCTTATTTCTTCTTTCATATCAAATGTGCAAAATATTTGTGGAAAATGTATATAACGTACGTATGTATGTATACATATGCGAGTTTGCGTGTATATACCTATTTTTTTTTTTTTTTTTAATAATCAACACTATATAATATGCATATATCTCGCCTATTACCTCGTAATAATCAATATATTAATTTCCAATCGTGTTCTACAGAATATCGTAATTATTTTGAGTACAGCAGCCGATTTATCATTTATCGTTTCATTAGCGGGCATAGACCGTTAATTAGTTCGCTAAAAAAAAAAATGAAAAAAAAAAAGAAAAGAAAGAGACTCCACTATTATAAAAAAAACAAACCGACGGTTACTCAACGAATCGTTAAAACGAATATAAAATCATCTACAATACGTGTATAATCTTTTATAATAAAAGTTGCAAGATTCCTTATATCTTTTAAAGAAAAGTACGGTTCTTAAGCAAAGGAAAGAAATATTGCAATTTACAAAAAAAAAAGAAAAAAAAAAAGAAAATAATTGTAGGATAAAATTTCTACCACTAATCGAATATCATTATTCTCTGACTAGGCATTCAATTAAAAAGACATTATATGTTCATTGCTTCCGGCATTGCTTTGTAAAACATCAATTAACGGATTATGCCGCGGACTCGTCTATCTACCATAACGCACAAAAAAAAAAAAAAAAAAAAAAAAAACAAGTAACAAAGTACAATTACTGGTAATTCCCTACCGTAAATTATAGACGTTCGCAAGCTCTATCAAGAAATTCGGTTGTCGATGCACTTACCCCGTACGGACCCAGGCACTCTTAAAAATAACGTTCGAAATACCGTCTCAAATAACGCGTGCGATCTTATTTCACCGTGTTATTTATTACACACCTTCAGAGGTTAGGATCGTATAATTTCTATTACTTCCAGACGAATTTGAATGAATAAGAAATCGAGATGTTGTTCGAACAAACGATTTCCTATTTCTTTCTTTCTTTTTTTATTTTTAAATTAAATTTACCCAGGTCCGGTATCTCGAAACGCTCCCGCTCCTGGAGCGATAAAAATTCATTAAACACACGCCTATTCCTTTTCCGTCTATTCCACTCTAAAGGAATAACCCTCGCCGTAGCGACAAGTATCAAAGACACAATGCCATATCACGAAGAAAATGACAATGAATTAATGACATATATACAAACAACTTTGTATTATATACATGAAAATATATATATACATATATATATATGTACGTATTTCATCATATATATATATACATATATAATATCTATATACGTGTAACGCTTCAACATTATGGCACCGTATTTAATCGTCAAACAAACGCATTGTTGTGTGTGTGGGCTTTGAAAATATATATATATAAATTTACATGTCGTTTATATATATATATAAACAAAATTACTGTTTTCATTTTTTTTTTTTCTTTCTTTTTCCCCAAATCCACCGAACCGGAACCGTGACACGATCGTTCCTCGCGCACCAAAAAAACCGTGTCGGGGGATGGGATCGGCCAAAACGTGTCAAACGAGTCTACGACTTCGAGTCCTGGAACTTCACAAGCACTATACGCCGTTGTACGTAGAGAGATTTATGAAATGACCGAGCGTGACCACGTGGCGGTGGTTTCAACATTAAGTCGCCCAGCCCTCAGTGATTCTGGAACGCTTCATCAGCGGTCCGTTCTCATAGTCTGAATTGTTCCCTCCGTTTCCGCCGGAGTGGCTCGTTCTTATGTCCGCCACAGAGCCACTGCCCGGTGACGGTAGATTCGTTGGCGTTATGCTCCCGGAATGAGACGGAGGTGGATTACTGCTAGGTCTGCTCGAGACAAGATTCAACGACTGCGGCCCGGGATGAGGTACGTGGTGCGGTGGCGGACCGCCGGTGCTGGACGACGGTCCAACGTTCAGAGTCGTGTGGTGAAGATTGCTGGCGGTGGTGGGCCCGCTACTGTTCGAACCGCTGCTACCACCGAGCGGATCTCTGGGTGGACTGATCGGTTCGCTTTTTATCTTCACCGGTAAGGGCGACGTGGCTGGCGGTGGTGTACTACTCGACACAGCTAGATGAGGAAGACCACTGAAACACAAAATATCGCGTATTATTACCGCAACCAATTTTCTTACCAATAACCAGCTGTTTGTTAGTAAGCAAGTAATTGTAGTAACTCGGTAATTATTTCATCTCTAGCAATTGAAGCATGAGAGGAAAAAAAAAAAACAAATTAATGAGCGCAAACAAAGATGAACGTAACATTGTACACTCGTGTGATTCACTGGCGTGCAAACGACAGTCAAAACGAGAAAAAAAACTATAGAAACCCTAGTGGACGTTATCGTATGCTTTCAACCTTTGACAAAGGTAAGTCGAGCTATATATATAAACGAATTATGTAAATAATTTTTGCTTCTTTTTTTCGCAAAGACAAAAACGAGTAAGTTCTCGAAGGAAGATATGCGTTAATAATTGAGAAGATCTTTGAATAGTTTGAAGATCTTGGAGAAGAATCATAGACCACCTGGACATATAGTTTTCTTTCGCAACAGTAAGTATGAAATATGATTTACCTGATGCTGGACATGGTGGCTGCTGAATACATTGATAAGTCATCAACGTACCTCTGATGAGACCATGCTAGACTTCCAAGGTCCGAGGAATAATCCGTTGGCCCAAAGCTAGAGTAACCAGCTGGAACTGATGGCGTTTGCAGTGCTACCACCGGCGTATTCAACGAGGATTGTGCATGGCCACTCTGCGTACATGAAAACAACGAAATAAAGTTGTTAGAACAAGACAATCTTCCGGTTATTTAGAAATTATTATTCGGACTGTGATATGCACGTGGAAAAATTTAACAAAGATGTCCTGATACATATACGGGTTAGAACCAGGGGTGGTTAATATTTGTAGAATATATATATTTTATATACTAGTTCAAATAATAGATTCTTCATAATTCAAATAAAATAGTATTTCAAATGGGATATAAAATTTCAGCAAATAAAATATTTTATTTTGATAATCTAACACGTAAAATAAAATATGTTTTATTTTAATAACATAAAGCATAAACTTTAGAATACTTTCCATAGTGCTTAATTTGAAAATAAACTGTGTATGTATGACATACAGATGGAGAACTTTCCATCATTCATTTTATGAAGATCCTTATTAAAGATTCTTAATAGAAGTATTCATTGAAGAACTACATTGAATGTACGTTTATAATGCAGAGGAAAAGTACTTCGTTCGTTTTAGATTACCAAAACAAATATATTTTTTATCCAACTTCGAAAAAGGAGGAGTTACTCAATTCGATATATGTATTTCTTGCACGCTATAATTTAGTAAAATAAAATATTCCGAACTATGGCACAGATATTTTCAGTGTTTTTCAAATAAAATATTATTTGAAATATTAACTTAATAATTTCTTATGACAAATAAAATATTTTATTTAAAAAACTACTTGCACGATCCGAAATAAAATATTTATTTACTATTTACTATTTAAAATACGTATTTTACCCAGCTCTGGTTAGTACGTCATTAAGAGAATCTTCCAATTTGAATATTTTATACAGTGATTAGATATCCGAATATTTACACTATTTAAATAGCGTAGACTAGACGTTAGTTCCGAGCTTCTGGACGACGCGAATGCCGATGAACATGGACCACGACAGAAATGATAATATCGGGTATTCGAAAAAGTTCGTGACGTTTCGCAACCATTTGCAATGATTTCGTCGCATCGTTCTGTGATTGGTCGACCACATGCAAATCCTTGACATACAAATTTTGATAGAGCATTTTGTCCGTAAAAACTACAAAGGGCCTAGCCGATTAAGATGGTCAAAACTGCCCTTAGAGCTTCTTCAATAGCTCTTGTATCATTCGAAAGCTGACCAAGAAAAACCCTCCTGAGTAAAATTTTAACCCTCTTAGCTTGCCCGTGAGGGTAGTTACAGGGTAAAATAGATTTTACGCTTTTCGGCGCATTTTCCGATCTGAAATGCGTTCTAAAATTCTGAAAAAAATCTGACACGTTCCGGATCCTAAGGCGCATTTTTGAGAATTTTTTCAGATTTTTTCGTTGCAAACTGTGGTCGTGAAAAATGATAAAACCTCGAAAAAATCGGAAAAACATTTTCTTCTCAAAAATATGAAGACATGCTATTCTACTGTTCGGTTCCCCGATAGAGTACTATAACAGGCAGTGTGATCAATTTTTAAAAATATTTTTGTTCGGTTGCTTCATTGTCAAAAACAATAAAAACTGAATTTTTTCGACGTGTTCGCTGCGAGTATTTATTGTTTTTGACAATGAAGCAGCCGAGCAAAAAATTTAAAAAAAATTTACGACATCGCCTGTTATAGTACTTTATCGGGGAACCGAACAGTAGAATAGCATGTCTTCATACTTTTGAGAAGAAAATGTTTTTCCGATTTTATCGACATTTTATCATTTTTTCACGACCACAGTTTGCAACGAAAAAATCTGAAAAAATTCACAAAAATGCGCCTTAGGATCCGGAACGTGTCAGACTTTTTTTCAGAATTTTAGAACGCATTTCAGATCGGAAAATGCGCCGAAAAGCGTAAAATCTATTTTACCCTGTAACTACCCTCACGAACAAGCTAAGAGGGTTAAAATTTTACTCTGAGGGCAGTTTTGACCATCTTAATCGGCTAGGCCCTTTGTTCACAAGCCTGCGTAGCATTCTCGCGTTGATCGAATACCCGTTTCATTTGTGAGGCGACGGTGATAGACTCACATCGTAACTAGTGTCTTCGGAAAGAGGTTGCGTAAGAGGTGTTGGAATAACTACTCGAAGATTAGTCCTGTGAGGATGAGGCGGCGGGGGTGGAGGCGGTGGTTGCGGCGAATGCCTAGACTGATTGCTGCCTTTATTCCCACTGCCTCCGACTCCCAGCGCCGGCGAAGGTCCTGGACTAGGTGAACCTCCGAGCGGTGACGCCGATGGAGGGTATCCGTTGCTCATCTCTAACATCCCTCCCGGTGGATACACTGAACAGATAAAACCATAGCTCGTTAATATTGTTCGAAAAAATGAATGAGTCTTACACTGGATCCTCGACTTGGTTTAGGGCGAAAGAGAACGTCTAACCAAGCCAAGGGATTTTTCTAGAAATGTTTATCCGCTTGTATCGTACCTGAGTCTGTTTCAGAAGACGACGGTCGTGGAGAAATGCTGGTGTGTGCCATTTGAGGACTAGATCCAAGTAGAGATTCGCCGTAACTATTCACTGGTACAGATACGGGTAGAGCGTAATTAGATTGTCCCATTGCCTGAAATCGTAGCAAATCAAAGAATACGTCATTAACACCGATTTCATTATAGGATAATTGACGAATATTAACAAGTCAGGAATAAACGTATTCTACTTCCATCAACTGGATTTGTAATGTCTTTCTTTTAGCGATGAGGTGTCTTTTAACTTTGAGGTGTAGTAAGGGAAACTGGCTGTGACTCATAACTGCTCGCTCGTCCAAGGAACAAGGATTCGAGTTTATACGATGGCACGTAGCGAGATGGTACCGGGCAGCAAACGAGTATTGGGTAAATTTGCTTGTTCGCGTTACGATAATAAACGGCGTGAATTAAATCGAGTTCTGTCGGTGACAAATTGCGCGGCCCGATGACGTCTGATGGAGGCCCGTTGAAAGCTAATAAACGTAACCACGAGGACTAACGAATTGCAGCCAAGTCATGTGAAAACTCTGGACCAGAGGTTCCCAAAGTGAAGCGCGCCTAACCATCTGCGAACAATCGGTTTCGCGTGCGCGCGGAGATTCTTGTAGCCGCAATATTTTTGGCCGACTTTTACAAGTTTAACAGAACGTGTAATCGGATATCGCTATCGGAGCAGTAGTATTCGAAATACTATTCGATTATTAATATTTTAGCGCTGCCATTCGAAACCGTTGTTCCAATATTATTGTTTGAGCGTCGTTACTCGTGCGTTAGTAAACCAGCGCTAATGCTCGGGAATCATTGGCAACATTCGAGCACCCATAAAATATTCAAATAGTCCCAGGCCTAATATAATATGTAAACCTCGTGCCGCTCTCGACCTTGTTTCCAAGATGCATTTCGTTTCGAGTAATCCTCGTTTCAGGCTGGCCAACTGTTTCCTATCTCCCAGCGATATCGACAGTTTGTAAACGCTTTCATAATGCTCGATGAATCATATCCAATCCGTTCTCTTATCGAGGACCGCGCGGAGACGTTCGAACGTCGCTTCCAGCGCGAGGAAACGATCTCTCGCGTTTTCGGAAATGCCAGGTGCAATTAAGGAGTAGAAAAGATAAAGGTTTTTGTTTAAAGTAGGCGGAGAGAAAAGGAAAGTTACAATTCTATCGTTTCGGGACGCGAGTGGGAGTACAGTAGTGTCTCGTTAAGCGCACCAATTTCTCCACGATAAGTGCACCGATTTCTCCACGATAAGTGCACCGATTTCTCCACGATAAGCGCACCGATTTCTCCACGATAAGCGCACCGATTTCTCCACGATAAGTGCACTGATTTCTCCACGATAAGCGCACCGATTTCTCCACGATAAGTGCACAGCCCCTATCATGGGGGGTGGAGTTATTCTTCTTAAAGGGGTCCCGGAGTTCGATCGCTGAGCAGTGTAACATGATCCGGGATCACCCGGTGATACAAATTTAACCCAATGCTGAAACTTTGTTATTATTAACTTTTTTGTTTAAAAGCTTTTACCGTCATATTCCTGGCATTCTTCTGATTAAAATGAGTCCAAACACGACGTAATTCGCAACATGTTTACTTGTAACGACTTATTGTGTATTATACAGGGTGTCTAAAAAATGTTGGAGGTCTTTGAAAGGGGTGGTTCAGGGGAATGATTTGACACAACTTTTTCCTTAAGGAAGCCCCAGCCTCGAAGCCTCGGCCCTTTCAAAAACCTCCAACATTTTTGGGACACCCTGTATATCGTAGAACACTAACTAAAAATAGATGCATGGTAAATATCATCCGAATTACATCGTGTTTGGTCTCATTTTAATCAGGAAAGTGTCAGGAATATGATGGTAAAGGTTTGACAACAAAAAAGTTAATAATAAAAAAGTTTCATCGTTCTCTTCTTTATTCGCTGTCCTTCTTTACGTTTCAAGCTCGTCGGCAAACATCAAAGAACGATGTCCACGGTAGTCGCACAACGTCAGTCCCGAGCTTGTGCGATTAACGAGACATTACGGGAAAAATGAAGAAAATTTCGAAATGGAAATTTCGAACGATTAGCGGAGGACGCTCAATTATTGTTAAAGAGATCTTTTCTTGTAGTCATAGCCATCGTCGTGGTTATAGTCATGAATTTTTGTTACCATACTCATCCTCGTCGTAATAATAATTGTCGTCACGTGATCATTGCTACTGTCACCATCGCGTTAGCGGTAATCGAATAGCAGAACTCGAAGAGTTGAGCGTGGGAAGAGACGATCGCTGTACTCACCCGAGTGCCGTTGTGCTGGTGCCTCTGCATCATCAGCTGGAACTCCTCGTCGATCTTGGTGTATTTGGCTTCCGTACGCGGAGTGAGATTGTATTCGATCGCATCGGGCTCCGGACTTTCTGGAGACATGGCACCCTTATGTTCCTTCTTGTTGAGTGCCTGCAAGTGTCAGCAGACAGGTTCACGTGACCACACCGCCCGAGGGCACTCAACCTTCGCATGCACGTTAATTTAAACGCTAACAGTGGAGACTAGCATTCTAATCCCGCGTTTTCGCTCGTCGTCGACCGGGTCTTGTATACTTAATCATTCGCACGCGAAACGAGCCTAACGCGACAAATAACTATTGCGCTTTTATCTGTACGACGCTCGCGGCGTTCCCCAAACCTTTCCCACCTCGACAATTTCGATACATTCTTAGGGTCTAGTTCGCGATATCGGTGTGTCGATGCAGTAATGTCTCCATAAATACACAAGCACGGGACCGAACTTGTACATTTGTCGTAGAGTTCGTATATTCTCTGATGTTTGCCGACGAGCATTCGAACGTAGAGGAGGAGAGCGAATAAAGAAGAGGACGGGGCGAAAACACCAGGGTATGTCAATGAGACAATATAACGTAACGATGAAACCTTTTTTATTATTAACTTTTTTTGTTGTAAAACTTTCACCATCCTACTCCCGACATTTTTCTGAGTAAAATGAGACCAAACACGATATAATTCGGACGATATTTACCAGGCGTCTGTTTTTAGTTAGTGTTCTAGGATATACAGGGTGTCCCAAAAATGTTGTAACACCTTGAAAGGGTTGGTTCAGGAGGTGATTTGAAACAACTCTTTTCTTAGCGAAAATGTTGTCCGAGGCTTCGTTAAGGAGATATTAACACCCCTTTCAAGGACCTCCAACATTTTTCAGACACCCTGTATAAAACACAGTAAGTCGTTACAAGTAAACATGTTGCGAATTACGTCGTGTTTGGGCTCATTTTAATCAGAAGAATGCCAGGAATATGACGGTAAATGTTTTACAACGAAAAAGTTAATAATAACAAAGTTTCAGCATTGCGTTAAATTGTCTCAACGAGTGATCCTGGATCATGTTACACTGGTTCGGCGATCGAACTCCGGGACCCCTCAAGAGGTTATACCCCCCAATTGGTGGAGGGGATGGTTTCTGTGCATTTATCGTAGACAAAATTGTGCATTTATCGTAGACAAATTTGTGCATTTACGGAGACATCACTGTAATCTTGCTTATTTTAACACTATCTATCTTTACGGCTATCTATTACCTCTACTCGATTCTCTACTCGATTCAATTATCTTCGCTAATAATTCTCGTATCTATAAACATGCGAACAGCTGCCGTAAGTATCTTAATCCCCTCCCCCCATTTCTCTCTGCTCTTGATCCGTTTCGCAGCTCCTCGGACAACATAGTTGTTCCGATAAGCGATCCTCTAATTATTTCGAGCAGCGTGGAAATACGAACCACTTCGGGTTCGATTACAACCGGTCGCGACTCGGTATTCGTGCACGTGCAGGATTAAAGGGACTTCGAACGTCGTCGAGACGTTCGTCCTGCACGCGCAACAGTCGCAGACCTGCATCTACGTTATTTTTTCTTCTCCTTTACTCACCGTGGTATCTTAAAAACATCCAAATCATTTCTGGACCGACTCACGGCGCAAAATGTACGCACTTTATTTACCGGGAGCCTATTCATATTTTATAATCGCAGTATTTAGCTATTCGAATTTATTTACTGTCTCGATGATTATCTACTTAGTGTTTGGAGACAGACTTGGCTTTCGATGTACCCAGCGACAGTATGGAGGAATTATTTTGTCGGCCTAGATTTGCATATACCACCGTAGAAAATTCTTTTTTTTTTAATCGAAGACTGTTTCTAAATAGTTCGGTAGATAAAATGTTAAACACTTCGTTTCTATCGAGGAGTAAAAAGAATATTGAAAACAGGACCTCCTTGTATCGACCCGGATTCTTGAATTTCAAATTAAATTTTGAAGCTAAAACGAACGACGGATTATTAGTTGCGATTAATGGACCTGGAAACGCTGGCCATTAGTCTTTTCTAATGCCCCGTACAAATAACAAACCGCGCGAAAAACGGCCAACGCAGGAAGCGTCTTATACGCGCGTAGATCCGGCGCAGAGGCTAGACGTAATCTCGACGATCGACGACTGAAAAAGTTAACGACCAGTGATGATACGGGACCGCGGGGAGGATCGAGACATTTTTTCACTGTGAATCTCTCATTCAACCGGTACACGATCGACACCTTCCGGCTAACGTCCGTGCTCGTCGAGCATGCGCGAATCGTCCTCGAACACGATCGAACGAACGCGATAGATGAAGCTACGTGAACTTGGCACCCGACTTTTCGAAAATTAATTTTTTTTTTTATAGAAAACGATAGCATTTCGTTAGTACCTTGATTGTACCTCCAATAGTTTCGTTTGTACCTCGACCAATTAATAATTGAAAAAAAATTCAAAAAATGGTCAGCACCCGACATCGAGATTTTCGAAATCGGTTTTTCCCGATTCTTTAGCAATCGTTTGTACCCGCCGGAATCGCTTTTCTTTTCGTTTCTACCTCGATAGTTTAAATTTTTATAGCAATTGTTGGTCCGCGTAAGAGCGAAGTTCGTTCATTTTCAAGATTAAGATAAATTTCAAGAAACTAGGAATTTCTGATTACAAGAAACTAATATTTTCTCGTGATTCGTAGCCAGTACACGCGGGAATTGTTATCCGTTTCGTTCGCGACATCGACGGTTTTTGGGAAGGTATAATTCGGCGGTTTCCACGGAACCTTGACGATTACTGAGGAGAAATCGGCTCACCTCGATGATATTCTTGTTGGTGAGAGACTCGTGGGGTTCGTTGTACTCGGTGTACTTGAGAAGGACCTTGTCCATGTCGGTGCTCGCATACTGGTACAGCTTGTTACTCGAACTGAAGATAATCAGGGCGATCTCGCAGTCGCAGAGCACCGACAGCTCGTACGCTTTCTTCATCACCCCGAATTTCCTTTTGTTGAAGGTCACCTGTGGACCAGCGATACCGTTTCATTTACGTACCAGGGATTTACCTGATTTCGATAGCGACGGGATCGACACGGTGTAACCACGACGACACTTGATGCTCGAGTAAATCGCTCTCTGAATTTGAAATTTAACCCATTGCACTCGAGGCCTTTTTATCTGGTATCCGTATCGTCGGTCACGAAAATATTCGGACACTATAAGAAATAACATTTTTTGATTAAACTGTAAAATTAGATGATATCCCACATTGATATATTGTTGGTAATCCATTTTGTTATATAATATGTCTAAATCGATTCCTCAAATTAGAAAAATAATTTTTTTTAGACACTCCGTTGACATGGATGCCCATTCTTCTTAAATGGAATTCTTCCTAATTTTCAATTCTTCACGAGTCCGTACATATGAGGGTTAATTTCGAAGCAGCCGGTATGTGCGTAACAGAGGGGAACCGCGAGAAATAATAAATTGTCGATATCTCTAGATCGCTATCATAATCGCTACAACGATGCCGTGCTCGAAATGTTTGTCCGTCGTCTTTGATAGCATCGATGCTAACAACATTGTTATTTTTATCGATTTCGAGTATCGAATGTTAACGACTCGCGATAAAGCGATACACCACGGACCACTCCAGTATCGAAGCCACCGCGAATGTACCTACGATGAGAATATTCATAGCAAAGTATAGTTTTAATCGAAAACGAGTTGCAAACCCGATCGTTTCGTCGAGTAAATCGACCTCTGAATTTGAAATTTAACCCTTTGCACTCGAGACTCGCTACGTTTCCTTTTTAGATTTCACTTCTTTGGAACTCCAAGTGTCGATAAAATGATTGTCGTTGAGGCAAAGGGAAATCTCAAATTAGAGATCTCATTTTCAAAGTCGATCCAAGTTTAGCATTCGTGACAATAGAATCCTGAGAAATACTGTCTGAATAGGCTTGGGGTGGTTTTCAGTGGGACCGGCAATATTTAACACCGTTCATGTACATATTGTCTGAGTAGGTTTGGTGTAGTTTTTGGTAGAGTCTGCAATGTTGAATGTTATTAATGTATATACTGTCTGAGTATGTTTAATGTAGTTTTTGGTAGAGTTTTTGGTAGTAATGTTGAATATCGTTAATGTACATACTGTCTGAGTATGTTTGGTGTAGTTTTTGGTAGAGTCTGAAAAGTTGAATATCATTAATGTATATACTGTCTGAGTAGGTTTGGTGTAGCTTTTGGTGGCGACTACAATGTTGAATATCGTTAATGTACATACTGTC